TTGAATACTTAAATCTAAACACAGCATATAGAATTGTACATAATTAATAAATTAAAGTATAAAATTAATTTCAATATTTTTAGGCATGTTGTATAGTTATCAAACTTACCTGCTAATAAATTTATCAGTTGAACATCTTTCTATCAATGTTTGCTGCAAAATTCTTTCTCATCGGTAACAACAATAGATTCTTTAAAGATTATTTAAAAAATTAATGATTTAAATAATCCAGACATATAAATATTAAATAAAATTTAAACTCATACTAATTTGATATATATTTGTCAATTTGTGTCTTGATCTAAATTATTGCAAACAATTTGTCCAAATTAGTTGTAGACAATTATTTTTCTTCCTCAATAAAAATACACAATACATGACACCTACTAAACTCAACGTTCTATACTTCATGTAAAATGTATTAACTAAAAATATAAAATAAGTATTAATAACACGCTTTCCGAATGCAGTTAGCAGTAAATATGAAAAACAACAGGAAAAAATTTTTCAGTTAGTTAATGGAAATTAAATTGTATTTTTAAACTGTCTATGTAATTAATTATGTTACATATCTTTTTCTTCTTATATTAAATGGCTCTTATCTTCAGAAGACCAGTTATGTTACATATAAAATCTTCTCTATTAAAAAGACAGAAATTGAATCAAATATGTTATATATATTCAAATATTTGTAGATATTTATAGATATGTAGAACCATGAAATTTTTGCAGTTAAATTTTTATATATTTTATCTCTTTTCTTCTTTTTCTTTATATCTTCTTTTTCTGGCATTTACATTTATTCCTGGATAGCACTAAGATCGATCCAACCAGCAACATTTAAGCTCTCTGAGATATCTAATTAGGAATTTCATTTTATGAATTCTGATTAATTTAATCAACGATTAATTGATGATAAAGCAATACCTGCAGTATTTCATTAATATGAATAGAATTATTAATTTTTGTTTTTACACACATAAAAAAAGAGTCGAGCGTGGCATAGTAGACAGCGCACTCTACTATGCTAGAGATCCTGGGTTCGATTCCCGATAGAGCCAAAAATATTTACGTCTCCTTTCGAAAGGCAAATGATAAACTACCGAGAGTAATTTTGCCTAGTACGTCTCTCTACCAAAAATTTGCCGTTCGGAACCGGCGTTAAATTGTAGATATACCTGTGTATAATCATCGTGCGCATCACAGCTATATGAGAGAGATTACGACACATTCGAATACGAGCAATAGGACTGAGAAGAAGAAAAAAAGATTTGAGAAATAGCGACTTATACAATTTGAAATTTTAATAAAAGATTGTATCAACAGTCAATTAAATTAACTGTCAAAGTCATCCTAACTCATTTAAATTTTATTGATACAGATTTTATTGAGATTATTTTATTGATACGGATAAAATTAATTCTTTGTTGTTGTTTAACACATAGGAAAAGAATAAGATTTGAAATAACAAATTATGTAATTAGGAATTTTGCTATGAACAATTTTTTATTTAAATTAATTAATTACACTACAAGAAAAATTGTTGTTCTAACATCAATATAATCATTTTTTTAGATTAGTATTGATAATAGAATTAATTAAGAATTGTCGAAGTGATTTTTAAAATTTGCCTTTTCACAAAATCATAATCACATGATTCAAGTCTCACTATTCAATTTTGATCACGTGATCCTTTCCGCTAAAATGCATCGAGCGTCATTATAAGTTGGCATCTTCAGGATATGCACTAGAAAAAAAAAACAAAAATACTAAAGACAACATAAAATAGAAATAGACACAACACAAGACAACATACAATAGAAATCTAAGAAATAACTGAATAATTCCGATCTCTTCTTTTTTCAATCGTTCGGAACTCGAACTGCAATCGTTTCGGAGCAACGTCGACAGGTAGCGGGGTCTACTGTCACGCGATTCGACTTGACAGTTGACACGCTCCTCTTGTAATCGCGTGATTCGCGTTATTCGCGGTTATGGCGATCGCCAGATGAGAGAGAAGCAGTGTCGCGCTGAGAGGGAACGGACTTCGTGACGGGTTTCGTGACGGACGACGAATTTTCACGAGGTAAGACACAACGAACGCGAATCCCTCGAATCCTCCTGTCGGTCTCTCCTCACGCGAGTCATCGCCTCGGCATTCCCGGATTCGCTCCCGAATTCGTCGCCATTCGCCGTCACCGTCGTCGCGAGCTCCGTCGCAAATCGCGGGACGCAACGGCCGTCCTTTTCCTCCAGCCATACCTGAGGACAATAATAGATTTGGCTGGAACCTGCACCGAGAGCCTGATTAAATAAATAGTATTGTATCCCTCTGTGTGTGTCACGCGGACTGGCGCCACCTCCCCGAACGTCGAACGTCGCGCGCGCGACGTAGATTTTTGTCTCGCGGCCGAGCTGAACGTCCCCCTTCGCTCAGCGACTTTGCAACCCGTGCCATATAACCTTCCACCCCGTGCACACGCGCGGTTTTTAGCTTAAAAAATCAAAATATTAATTTGGAAGAGAGAATTTGTGGTACATCGTTGGACCACCCGACGTAAAGCCTTTAACTTTCCCTCACCCGAGGAGACTAAAAAAAAAAGAAAAAAAAAGCATGCGCGCGGATACGCGTTTTTAGGGGTATGAAAATAATGAAATATAAATGCGGGCTAGCTTGATATAAAAAAATAAGATATTTTTTTATCTAAAATTTAATTGTGTATGTCATGTAACATATTGATCGAGGGCATTCTCAGTAATTGGATAAAAAAAAGAATTTTATAAAATTATATTATATTATATTGATAGAAATAAACATTAACTAATATTATTAATTGCGTTGATGAATACTGATACGAGTTGGATGTGTATTGTGCAGAAAAAGATTTTTTTTATCTTAGAGTAGAGTTAAAAAACAACGGTTGAGTAATTGTTGCTTGTGCTAATTGGAGTGAATCTTTGGATGTTAAATCTAGAAGAATATGTTAGAAAAAAGAATTAAAAAATGATGGAATGAACAATCGCTCAATGATTACACAATCGTGAACATAATCTTTCTGTTTCTCAGGAAATGATTTTGTGCAAATATTTGCTTATATGTCTTTTACAAGTCAATATCTAATTGATATTTATCTAATTGATATTTTATTTCTTTTTTTAATGCAATCTGGATGGATTTTCTTTTTTGTGATAACATTCCTCGAACATAGGATCTTTTCCTTCCACAGCAATCAAAAAACATGGAAGGTCAACAATTTTGTTTACGGTGGCACAATTTTCAAAATACACTCTTGAGTTCTCTTCCTAAGTTGCTCGACGGAGGTCACCTAACAGACGTTACACTGAGCGCTGGCGGCAGACATATTCATGCTCATAGAATCATACTCTCAGCTTGTAGTTATTATTTTAAAGAACTCTTCAAGGTATTTATAGAAGTGTTTTATTTATAAGAATGCATATACAAGCATGTCAATTAATGAGATTAACGATTACAAATTTCTTTTAATAAATTCGCTTAGCCTGATATATCATTTTTATCATTTTGTTTTTTTCTTTACAAGTAATATTTAACTTAGAATATAGAAATATTCAATATTATTAATTTTATTATTTGAGTAAACATAACAATTTCTAAATTAATTCAAGTTGTTATATAAAGTCAATATTATATGACTTGTATATTGTAAGTCATATATAGTTTAAATCTGTTCTAATAGTGAAATAATATAGAATTTTACGAATGAATTTTTAGGATTTAAGCTCCTTGCAACATCCAGTCATTGTCTTACCAGGCATGGAATATGCAAATCTATGTGCTCTAGTCAAGTTTATGTATAATGGAGAAGTGAATATTTATCAAGAACAGTTACCTGCACTTTTAGCTATGGCTGATACGTTGCATATTTGTGGATTGGCTGATATGGCTGGGGTAAGTGCTTTTAATTTACTTTTTTTAAAAAACAGAACAGAAGCTACTATGAAAAGCTTATCTGCAAAAAGAATTATGTAATATTCTCTTCATTTATATTGCGTTTCTTGAATGTTATTGTCTCTTATTTCTAGTTTTATTTTTTCTATCAGAATTTCTGGCGTCATATAAGATAGTTTATGACAGTTGTTATACATTAGATTTTTGTCTAATGTAATAAATAATAATATACAAAGTAATGAGATATTTTATTCATTATTTTCAGGTGCATATTAATTTGCATATTTATTTCTTTGTCGTGTTTTTATTGATTTTTCTAATATCTGATGACCTGTATTTGAAACACAAATTATATGATTTCTATTAGTTTAGATTTCAAAATCAGGTCAAATATATTTATAGATTCTTGCTGATTTTGCATAAGAGATAATATGTAATAATTTTTTACTATAATATATTCAGAAATAAAAATTGTAACTTTTGTACTACATTAATGGCTTTCTAGTACTTAAGGTAATTAGCATGAATAATATTTAATCTTTTAATACGCTTATTTTCAAATAAAATTTTCGATTGCTTATAACAAAGCATGTGTTTCTTAAACGCCGTTTTAGAAATATGATTCTCACTCTCCTTCCTTTAATTCATATTATATTTCTTATAAATACACATTAAATTTTACTTTCCATAAATATGTCTATTGAAAATTTGTATGAAATAACTACTTGTCCAACACAATATAGCCAGTATATAATACATAGGAAACAAAACTGCAACATTTCTGTAATAATAAGTTGCATCATTTTAAACCATAATGCATTTCCCTTTCATATTTTTTTCCTTCTTTACATTAACATGGATATACAACTGTTTATGCATTGTAATATTTGATTAATTGTATCTGTATATTCAATAGCTCATGAATAATATTGCTTCTTAATGAAATATGTCAATATATTATTTTTCAATATATTGTTTCTTTAAACTGTAACACATTGCATATTAAAGTAATATTTATATGCGATAGCAGTAAGTGTTGTAAACATTTATTAGAGTTGTAAGCAAATTTATTTAAAATTTGTCTTAGCTATGAATCATGATAATCTCTATACATACCACAGCATATTATATATGTTATTATAAATTTATATCCTCGTAACATGCATGTTTGATACCAAAATATACTTAAAAATATACTTAAAAAAATACAAAACTGTTATGATATTGCAGCAAATATTTTTTACAAAAATCGCAAACAATCGATTTCTTTCGTACATTATTCAGCAGAACGAAGAACGAAGCAAAATTCGCGCATTCGCTTGTTCCTCACTTAATCTTTTTATATTACCCTGATCGTGTTGTTTTGTTCAGGTTACTTAAACACATTCACTGTCGTTCCTCAAGAAGTACTTCACGAAGGAATTATACCGCTACACATATTATGTTCGTACATGCATCGAAGGAACGATAATGAATAAAAACGATATCCACGAGATCAAGATCGTTGTGTGTGTTGCAACTAAATGCAAGTGGATGCATCCCATGGAACCTTACCCCATAGAATGACTTTACAGGTATATCTAAAATAGCTTCTTCCATGAATCTCTAAATTACTAAAATAATATATTACCGAGGTTAGAACAGCGATTTTTATACAACACTTATGTTTTTTTCGCAATACAATAATGCTTAACAGTTTAGTCAAGTGTGATGATAACAAACGTTTAGCACTAATTTTGTCAATTCTAAAGATTATGTTATTAGTTAGAGTACAAAAAAATAAAGAAAAAATGCATGGGTATCCACAGATATTTGTAAATGAATTTCAGAGAATCAACAATTTTGGATTTTTATGTGCTAAACTGTTAAAATTCAATAACAACCCTTGACTAAATATATCTTTTTTTACAAAAGGTTAAATATTTTATTAGGAACACTTATTATTTTTAACAAATGTATATTTTTAAGACCATTAATATAAACAAAAGAAATAATGTTTTAAAAATTATCATGCTAAATATCCTTAAGTAATATATTCTAATATTGATATAAATAAATGTAAATAAATTGCACAAATATAGATAATTAATGCGCAATGCATAACCTGTTGTATAATATATACAGAATATGTTTTGGCTTATTTTGTTGAACTTCAAAAATATGTTTATCGTTATATGTCATTAATGTTCACATGTATGTTCTGTAAAAAGTTAAAAAAAATGTTCATTGCGAATATTGAAAGCGATTTGCATTCTTATGTAAATCTTTGTAACATTATTATGTATCATTTTAATATTAATATAAATCCCAATATATTTTTAATGTAAACGTATAGACAAAGTATGACGCTATATACTTAATATTTGGATCGTATTTTAAAATTCATTGTCTTTAATCATACAGTCTTTTTAATGGAGAAATGTAATAATCATTTAATGTGCTTTACATGATTACTCATGTTTTATTCCAGAAAAATCCGAGACAGGATAACGGCTTATATATACAATCACCAGTGATGCAATCGCAGGAAAAACTCTCAAACGAAGAAATAGTAACGACTGAGTCAAAAGATATGACGGCTTCTGGATTAGCTACTGGTTCAGAATCAGTACCTGTATCATTGCCTAAAGCAATAAATAATTTAGAGGATGAGGAACCAATCAACGATCAAGAAAGTATACAGTATTGCGTGAAAACGAAGCCTTACTATTCCATAAACGCGAAATTAAATCAAAGGGAAAGAATGTCTGTTCCTGTATCTGTTAATAAATATATTGATAGAGGATACTCGGAGAACGTGGACGAGACTGCGTCGATCATGGAAGATCAAGTCACGCCTATAGAGGATGTAAAACCACCGCCGGCTGTTTGGGACGCGAGTTTCAAATTACTCGCGGCATCCGCATCTAATAGAACTTCGCAAACTTACAATAAGTCCAGTGTCACTTGTCTTATTTGTGGTAAACAATTGAGTAATCAATACAATTTACGAGTACACATGGAGACACATAGCAATAGCTCATACAGCTGCACGTCGTGTTCACACGTGTCGCGATCGCGAGACGCTCTCAGAAAACACGTGTCCTATAGACATCCGGTGGCTTCTTCTCAAAAACGTCCACGATATAGTACACCGA